AATAAGATTGTTTTCCTACTGAGAGGTAGAAGTACTTGTTTCTTTAGTCTCCAAAAGTTACTCTTCTTAATCTTGTTAGTAAAATAATTATCTATTGAGTAAGGACAGGTATAGATAGAGCTGTTTTTTTAAAAGTGTGTGTATGTATGTGTATATATATATATATGTATGTATATGTATATATATATATATATATATACTTACTAGAAAAATAATTGATGCCTGTTCTATTGGTAGTGAGTCAGTAATATCTTCATACAGGAGGACATGTTTTTGTAAGTTCAAGGAAGTCCCCCAAAAGCTTCAGTTTGAATTTCCTTTGTTAAAAGTGATAGAGGTTAAAATGACAATTTTTATCATATATGAATTATATCTCAGTTAACAAATACAAATTTTCAAAAATGTAATAATTATGAAAGAAAAGTGACAGAACTGAACACTAAAAAGACAAATAGCAGTGATCATTTTGTAACATACAGAAATATCGAGCACTGTGTTGTGCACCTGGAACTAAGTGTTGTAGGTCAATTACACTTCAGGTGAAAAAAAAAATCCTGATGACAAAAAAAAAAAGATAATCCAGTTACCAGATGTCCAGAAGACTTGAATAGATAGTTCTCCAAATAAGATATGCAAATGACCAAGAAGCACAAGAAAAGATGTTCAACATCATTGTCTTTCAGAGAGGCAAATCAGAGCTACAGTGAGATACCAATGTCATGCCCACTAGGACGGCTATAATGAAAAAGAACAGTAACAAGTGTTGACTAGGATGTAAAGAAATTGGAGCCTTCATATGTGGCTGGTGGAAATGTAAAATGGTGTACCTTCTTTGGAAAACAGTTTGGCAGTTCCTCAAAAAGTTAAACATAAAGTTACCATATGACCCAGCAATTCCACTCCTAGAGATTCCTAGTTTCACTCCTAGTTCTCCCAAGAGAACTGGAAACATGTTCCCATAAAAACAAATGCATGAGTGTTTGTAGCAACATTATTTATAATAGCTAAAAAGTGGAAAAAACACAAATGCCCATCAGCTCATGAGTGGATAAACAATGTTTGTAAAATGGAGTATTATTCATCAACAAAAAGAAATGAAGTGCTGATCGATGCTACACAACATGAATGAACTTTGAAAACGTAAGTGAAAGAAAGCGGACACAAAAGGCCACAAGTTTATGATTCATTTATATGAAATGTTCAGAATAGACAAATCTACAAGATAGGAAAAGAGGTTAGTGGTTGCCAAGAGCTGAGGGGAATGGTAAGTGACTGCTAATTGGTATAGGATTTCTTTCTGGAATTAGTGGTGATGGCTGCACAACCTAGTGCCATCTAAATCAGTAACCTGGACACTTTAAAAGTGAATTTTATGATGTATGAATTATATCTTTTAAAAAAGTGATAGAAAAGTTATAAACACCAAAAGCTCTTTTTAAGCATACATATTTCTAATTTGATGTATGCATTGTTTTATTAATCCCTAAAGTGAAATGGTCTACTTATCAACCTTTTTATCTGTCTATATTTCTTTCAACCACTGAACCTATTGTCATACAACAAATATTTATTTTAAAAGGTGATGGCGAAGATGATGCAGAAGATGAAAATAACGTTGATAACAGAACTAACTCAGAGGGACCATCTGCAAAACGGCCAAAACCACAATCTTAGCAATAGCTTTTTCGAAATTTAAAAGATTGCTCCTATGTCTTATCACAGAGTGACATTTAAGGAAGACTTGTGCTCTGATTTGGAAAGCATTTGTTTTGTTTCCCTGGGGCAGTTTTGTCAAAGAAGAAACTTTTCTGTTTCCATCAAAGAAAGATGTAATAAGTGTTTAAAAATGAATCTCTTTTTCTTGAGAAGTTTCAGACTACATAAATAAAATAGACACTTAATAGTGTTTGAAATCTGCTAAGTTGGCAACTGAATTCTTACTGTTTTCTACTTCTTAAATAACCATTGAATTAAATTGTGTGATGTCTACATCTTTTAGCTTCTGCTTCTGTTGTAAAAAATATATGTCATGGTTCATGGACAGTAGCATTTCAAAGAACTGACATGAGCGAGTGGTGAAAATTGGATATTAAATTTAAGAATGGCAGTTCTGTATAAGGAGAAGGAAAACGGGAATATACTGAAGAGAAAGGAGAGCCCTTGAGAGAGACCCAGAGAAACCTTGAATCCACACTTACATCCAATATACAGTCATCTGGAGACAATACCACTCAACAAATATATATTTAACTTGTAGTTAGGAGTCAAATGGGGTGTGCTTTTATGCTGGGACTGCTATCTAGATGAACACAACTATAAGCCCTTAAGTAAGCAATTTATATTGACTTTATCTTAGATATTTCCTCTCATCCTGTAGCCAGTCTTTGATTTTGCATGACAAAGGACCGTTAAATCCTTTATATATACATATATATATATATATATATATATATATGTATATATATATATATATATATTCCTAAAATGTATGTGTGTGTATTTCTTTTCTGCTTGTCAGTGGGACTAAGGCATTTTTTATTTACTGTATATGTTTCTTGAATCATTTAGATAGATGAACTGCAAAGAAATCAAGTAGCATGTACCTATTGAAAGAAATAGTCATAGAATTTTAGAGGTGGAAGTAACCTTACAGATTATATGATTTATTTCAGAAATAAGTCGAGTCTTATTTTGTTTGCCCTGAGTTACAGAGCTTACTGGCAGAGTTGGGTTATACACATAGCCTTTAAAAGATTACTGTGGTACTTTCCCAGTTACACATTCTGAAATCTATAGCTTATAAAGTTCATGCTATTAAGGAAACAGAATTTACACACCTTTTCATATCTTTAAAGTGTTGTTTTACTTGGAACATCAGACTTGTGCTAAGTTCTCTTATGTAATTAATACAAACTAGAAAAAGTTTTATAAATGGTCAGAAATCACCTTGTTTGTTTAGTTTGTGATAATGTCTCCAGTATTAGGACTTCAGCTCAGTTATTGACTTATAATAATCTTTTATTTTCATACAGTCCTTAAAAAAACTTACCTGTATAATTAAAATAGTTTATGTTTTTAAAGTAATAGCTGAACTTTGCTCCTGAACATTTTGTTTCCTTCTTTGTTTAGCAAATATGTTTATAAAGAAGAAATGTCAAGATATTTATGCTTGTGGTCCAGTGTTTGGAGGTCTGGGTTATAGGTCTGATTGATCTTTTTCTTAATTTTAATATTGATTCTTATTTTGGTACCGTCTTCATAAGTGAGCCAGCCACATGTGTGACAAAAAAGATTCTGAAGGTTTGAAGGTCCAGTCTGAAGAACCAGCAGAAAAATGCCTTGCCTGGTTTTCTAATCTGCCTTCTAAAGGTAACATTAGTCACAGGCATTCAGGGCTCAGTTAATCTCTGAAACAGCTACAACTTTACTTTTATACAGGAAAGTCAACTCCACAGTCCTACCTAACAATAAGCTTGACGCTGTACTTAGATCGATCTTTTAAAATGTGAAACATATGGATTTTTATATGTGAAATATATGGACATATGCAAATAAATGTCTTTTCTACAAGTAAGTGCTTTTGTATCACATTAAGAAATACTTATTTTAATAGAGTTCTCTGGCCAAGGACAGGAACTTTTACTCTTTTATAAGAGGTTACTGTTGCTTGGATGTAATATTAGTTACGAAGTTTGAACAGTTTTAAAAGAATCACTTGGGGAAAAAAATTTACTTTGAAACAAGGTATGGGGGGAAAGTATGGGAAGAAATCATTTTTTCCTTCCTGAATTAGAGAGTGTTCGTACTGAGAGGATTTATGCTTCTGTATCTACTTGCCTTTCAGATCCTGGGCCAGGTGACCTCCTTTGCTTGTCTACCTCTTCTCACCCTTTAGGTTTCAATTTTAAACATTTCCTCCAGCAGAACTTCCCTGGCCTCAAAGACAATGTTAGGTCCCCATGCTGTGTGTTTCTGTGGTACCTAGCCCCCTGTGCTTCCCCCCATGTTATGAAATGTACTTTATTATAATTATTTTTTCAGCTACTCAGTTTTTAAAAAAACTTCTATTGAGGAAGGCTTGTATTTTTAAGGAAATAAAGTTTGTTTTCTTCCAAATGGGAAAATTAGTCGGAGACATCTGTGGCCCTCAGTTTATTATGTAGAACTTTTATCTAGATCCTATTTAGCATATTAAAGATATACCTTTTTCTCAGTAGAATTGTTCAATCTGTACAAATATAAAGTATTATTTCTTACATAACATACTGTAATAAGATTCTTACATAAGACACTGAAAATGTAGGCTTTTAAACTCAACTGTCAATCACTGTGTTGTAATAAAATGATTACAAGAAATTCCTATTTGAACTTACCCTCGTCAGTAGCTGAGCACCAGAGAGTTAAAAACTGTATTACAGGTTTGGAATGTAAAATTATTATGGAAATTGAGGATATTTGTAAAATAACACTTTCAGTTTTAATAAATGATAAACAAGTTTGTTAGTTTTTGTGATGAAGTTGTGTTCTTTTCTCTCTACTTAGAACATAATAAATTGCAGGTAGTTGACAGTACTTCAGTTTTTTAAAAAAATGTTTAGTGTTTTTTTTAAAAACAAAAGCCATGAAAGTACTAAAAGAAAATGGACTCAATTTTTATAGTCTCAGAGTGAGGAAGTTTTCCTAAACAAGATTTTTAGGAATCCAGAAACCAGGATAGAAAGGATTAGTAAATGCAGTTATGTAATAAAGTTTCTGAACATTCTGCAAATGAGGTTAAAATGACAGAGGGGGAAAGTATTTAGTATTTTCAACAGAAATGACTAAGAACTGTTAATCCTTTTATAGCTCTTATATGTACCAGTCAGAAAAACGATAGAAAATTTCACTTCAAAGAAAAAAATTAAAACCACAATATAGTACCCCGTTTTTTTGGTTTTTTTTACTTCTCAGACTAAAAGGTCAAAAGTTTTGATGCAATATTGAGCTGGAAAGGGTGTGAACTCTATAATACATTGATGATGAGAGTGTAAAATGTTAAATATACATGCTCTTTGACCCAGCAATTTCACTTACAGAAATTTAACCAACGGCTAATAGCACACATGTGCACAGATCTGTATACAAAATTATCCATTGGAGCATTATTCTTGGTAACAAAAGATTGTAAACAACCTAAATGTTCATCTGCAGAAGACCCTAGTTAATTAAATAAAAATAGAAGCACATTAGTACAGTAATTCTGTGCAGCCATTAAAAAGACCAAGGTATAGCCCTCCATGTTGTTAAGGATCAGTCTTGAGGATATGATGTTAAATGAAAACTAGCAAGCTGTAGAAGAGTGTGTAGAGTGCTGCTAGTGGAGAATATTAGCTAGATATGCATATAATATCTGAAAGGAAAGTCAAACTGCATCTGGAAAGAGGGAATTGGGTTGGGAATGAGAGGGAGGCTTTTCATTGTATACTCTTGTTCTCTTTGCATTTTAAGAAAGCATATGTTACATATTTTTCTACACAAGCAGAAAAATTTATTGTGAAACTTCCACTTTTTAATTTTAAAAAGTCATGCTTTTTTAGCAAAGGCAGACTAGCCATATTAACAGTTTAAAACATAGTTATGTAAGTAATTCAGGGCGAAATGTAATGAATCCAGACTTGAAAAACAAAAGATCGACTTTTCCCATCTGACTACTACTTTGTTAGAAGAGGGAGTGGCATGCAACTTCTAAAGAGGTTAGGAGAGCCAAGCTAAATATGAGGTGGGCTACCGTTCACAAAAGGGAGGAGATGTTTCTAAAACTGATGGTCCTAGCCTTAACCTTCTAGCCAGTGCATTATTCTCAAAGTATGAAAAGAATTTCACAGTGCTACTGTTAACTATTCAAATTCTCGGGTGACCTTTGTGATCAGAATTGCTCTCCTTAAAGACATGGCCCAGGGAAAGTAAATGCTAGGCAGTAAGCCTCTATTTAAATCTTTTAAAAAGCAGCAGCTCACGTTGAGGCAGCAACAAGGCCTTTTTGGTTAGTTTTAAGTTGAAATTTACTCTCATGCCAAAAGCTCTCTTGGGGATAGAAGTAACTTCTAGAAACACATGACTGGTTTAAATGAGTGCTTTATAGGGCCAGAGTACCGCCCCTTGATGGCAGAGTACTGAAGTTGCGTGCAACGGCTCTACGATGTCGGCATGATACTTGCTGCATCTGTTAGGTGGCTTAGGAAACCGTTATCTTCATGATTGTAACTTGAGAATTTCTCAAGGCTCTAACCACCACTTAAAACCTTGTTTGTGAATGTGGTATATGTTTTTCTTGCATCAATAAGGAAAATCCCAAGAGAGCCAGGATCACAAGAAATTTTGGCAAAAATAAATCAAGAGACTCCTTTTAAATCTTGGCCTTGAAAAGAAAATAGCCCTACTTGCTAAAAACTGGGAGAGCTTAAGAACCAAACTTACCTAAAACGTGACAAATTATGTTCTGCACTTAATAACTTTAATCTTTATTTTCTCTGGCACGTAACTAGCTTGTTTTGCAGCCTAGTGAGAAAGTTGTTGAATGGCAATAAAAATCATTCATGCAGTAAATACTGAGCACCTACTGTGTGCCAGGCACTGTTCTAGGCATTGGACACGTGGCACAAAAAATCCCTACTCTCATGGAGTTTAGATTCTGACAAAATATATAATATGTCATATGATGATAAATTCTGTCAAGAAAAATGGAGGCAGATGATGCTTAATTTTAAAAGGGGTGGTCAGAGGCAGCCTCACTGCACTGACAATTGAGCAAAGGTCTGAAGAAGGTGATGGAGCTGGTCAGGGCTAAGCATCCAGGCAGAAGTTACACTGAGCCTGGAGTCCCTGAAACACATTTTTCTGGCATGTTGCTAGAATCAGCAAGAAGACCAGTGTGGCTGGAGTGGAGCAAGGGTTGGAGGGGTTACTAGAAAATGAAGTATAACTCAAGGGCCACTTACTTAGAACTTTATATGCCATGTTAAGGACCAGTATTTATACCAAGACAGGATGCTTTTGGAGCATTTTTGAGAGGAATAATAACATTTTAAAAGCGACCCCTCACCATTTGATGGTGGACTTGGGGACTTGAACAGATTTTGCTGGGTGGAGAGAGCAGCAGCTTGGCTTTAGACAGGTTAAATTTCAGGTGTCTGGTAAGATAGCTTAGTAAATATCAAGTAGGCTGTTCGATATTCAAGTCTGGTGCTCAGGAGAGAGGTAAGGGTAGTTCTAGAAATTTGGGTACTTAAAGCCGTGCGCCCAGTTGAGATGGCAAGGGAGTAAGCGTAGAAAAAGAGAAGTAGGGCATGCCAACATTTAGAAATTGGACAGATCTGCAAGGAGGAACCAGTGAAGAGGATAGGAGAAGCTGGTGAGGGCGAAGGCAAACCAGGAAAGTATCTAAAATTGGGTTAATACATGGTAGCTGCTAGCCACATGTGATTGTTTAAATTTAAATTAAAACTCAAAATTCAGTTCTTTGGTCATGCTAGCCACATCTCAAGGGCTCATTTCATGTGGCTCATGACTACTGATTTAAGACAGCACAGATATAGAACATTTCCGTCATCACTAAAGTTCTCTTGAGCAGTACTGATCCAGAAGCCAGCCAAAGAAACGATCTCAAAGACAAGGGAGTGTGTCAAAAAGGCATTTGAGGACTGAGACTTGATCACTGAGTTTAGTTGTGTGTAAATGACTGGTGACTTCTTGATAAGAGCAGTTTTGATACAGTGGGAGGCAAAAGTCTGATATAAGTGTATTCAGGATTATTTGGACAGTAGGGCTCAGAATCTGAAAATACAGACATCTCATTCCCGACCTTGGGCTCTGGCTGGCAGCTGTCTGCGGTCTGCTCGGGGTGGTCATGTCTGCAAGGACACCGCTGCTGCTGAGGGGCCTGACTGGCAGGGCCTGCCATTCCCGTGCTGCATGCCCAGATCCATTCCAGACCACCACAGGAGCCGCTCAGGGCTGCAGATGTTGCCATTGGGCTCACCTCCTGCTTCCTGTTTCCTCCTGCCCTGAGGCTGGGTCTTGGCACACCTGGAGAGCTACAAAAAGCAAGAGTAAAGAGAGCTGTCCTCTCCCTCACCTGTGACCTGGCCACCCCTAGTCTGTCCTGATCATGTCTGCTGCATTCCTGTCTGACCTTCCCTAGAGCATAGCCTTCAGTTACAGTGACCTGCAATCAGGACCTCTCAGTTTCTCCGTGTTGACATCTTGGGGCCACATACTTAAAGTCTATTTAAACCTTGGAAAAAAAAAAAGAATATAGACACCTCTTTAAAGATGTGCAATCCAAACGGCTGGGGTGAGCCTACCACAAAATATTTGCTCGGTGCTGTTACAAAGACAAACACAGCCCCCATGACTAACAGTTGAACCTTTACAGTGCACAAAAACCCATGGCCCAGTGACTCTCATCCCTAATAGACTTGTTTGAAGAGCTCCAAAAACATGATGGCCTCAGCCTCTCCCCCCAGGGATTGATACAATTGGTTGGGAAGGGATGCTGGCATTTTTATGTGAGTTTTGCTTTGCGTTTTGTTTATTTCCTTGAGTGATTCTAATACTCATCCACAGTTCGACCCACTCATGGCCTTAAACCAAAACAAAAACATCAATGCAGGATTCCCAACCATGGTCCAGAATTATATGGAACTTTATGAATATGTCGGAGAATTTATAAAGTGATGGCACATATTTGATGCAAAAATGAGTCATGTGGTATTCTAAGATTTTCTGCCAGCGTTTTGGAGATTGAGGATGTTAAATCCATCAAGAAGGAAATCAACACCAGATAATCTTAATATAGGACTTTAACACCACCCACTGTGAACAGACATACAGGTTAGATTATTTTATGGGTGCTATTACTCAAGTAGGAGCACTTGATCTGATGATTCCACTTCCCCAAAGAAAAGCTTATTAGTTATAAAAGCTTTATTTGAAATATAGTCAAATTCTAAATTTAGGGAATCATGTTTTTTACTTTAAAATTGGTGCTATCTTTAAAACCAGAAAATGTACATGGTGATTAAAGCTCCAAGAATTAAACATTTGTTTCTGGAGTTCAGTGATCTGTTTCCTATCCTGGCACTTTTAAAAAATATCAGTTTTGAGCTGTTTGGGAAAAACACTCGAGGTATTCTTCATTTGAGGTGCAGTTGCAAATGAAATGTCTCATTAAACCAGTAGGGCATATAACTGTTTTTCTCATATCTGGAAGCAAATATCATTGACTAGCTGTATATCCTAGGATGCTTGTCCCTTCCTTAAAATTCCTGAAGCACTTTCTATATTTACCATTGTCACTGCCTAAGTATTTACAGCTTTTTGTATTGTGATGTGAATATGAAGTAAGTGATGGTCTGCTATAATACACAACTTTCCTGTCCATCTGTTTCAAGCTTCACCTCAATCTAATAAAGCTAGGAGATTAATTTCACCTTTCTCTCTTTACCAGAAGAGCACTTTGAACTATTAAACAGCCATATACAAAATAGGAAAAATCCACAACTTGGATAATTAATTCCAAAATAATTAAAGGGGGGAGGGTATAGCTCAAACAGTAAAGTGCATGCTTGGTATGCATGAGGTCCTGGATTCAATTCCCAGAACCTCCTCTATAAATAAAGCAAACCTAATTAAGTCCCCCCCCTCAAAAAATGTCTAAATTAAAAAAACAGATTAACCCTGCAGTCTAAACCTTTGCGATTACATCTGGAAATACTGTATTACTCCTACTCTAATTATTTTAATATTTCTACTACCAAGGCAATATAATCTTGAAAGAAAAAGGTGGACTGAGCGTTTACTTACCAAATCCCAAAATACTAGAATTTGAAGTATAAGAAAGTCTACTTCATTAACAAGGAGTTACTGCTTTACAAGACAAATAGCAAACTTACAAGCCTTGGATTATATCAAGCATTTATAAAATGAAATAATTGAAGTGGTTTTCTTAAATCATTTCCAAACTATCACTGCACCAAGACAAAGCAGATAAAACAAGAAATTGCTCAGATATGAGAAAAACAGAGCCTCTCCCCCAGGGGTTGTTACAGTTGGTTGAGAAGGGACCCTGGCATTTTTATGTGAGGAGTTTTGCTTTGCTTTTTGTTTATTTCCTTGAGTGATTCTAATACTCATCCACAGTTCGACCCACTCATGGCCTTAAACCAAAACAAAAACACCAATGCATGATTCCCAAAATTATCCTGTTTTTGAGAAGCAGTATAGTGGAATGATAGAGCTAGAGATCTGAAGCCAGACATCCTAGGTTCAAATTCTGGCCTTTCCACTTGCTGTTTGACCATTGGGCAAGTTATTAATTCCTACTAATGCTTCAGGTTTTCATTATTTCTCTCTTCTGTAAATTGGCACTAGTACCAGTACATACCTGCCTCTTAGGACTCTAGTGCAGAAGGAATGTGTATCACTCATAAAACAGTGTCTGCAGCATGCATACTTTTACTAAGTACTCAAAAGATAACAAGTCATTTGGTTATCTGACCCTTGCAGAAACACAGATTTCAAACTCCTGCTTAATTTGGAGATTCAGTATATTTTAGCAAAAACTGTATCATTTCAGTAACTAGACCTCTGGAAGTAGTAAAGGAGAGAAATGAGATTAATTGCAGAAGGATCTGATTGTGCCACTTTTGAGTTACAAGGGTACCTGCTTTACCTTTCCAGTAAAATCTTGCTGTGGAATGATCAGCCTTCCATTCTGGTCAAACTTAAAGTAAAGGTTGAGGTTGCTGGAAAACTTTTAGATTTTCAGTAGCTCATACAAACTGAGAAAAACCTTTCTTAATTCTTTTCCATTCTTTAGCATGGTTAGGCAGACAATACCCAGTGCTGAAACATTTGTCGTTTGTGAGCAGCACTCCAGCTCAGTGATTTAGGAACAAAGGCATCAGATGCCAGGTTATAACTCTGACTATAACTTCTTAGCTGTGTGACCTTTGGCAAGTAATTTAACTTCTTCACCATATGCTCCTTAACTGTAAAATCTGGATAACAATAACTTATCTCATAGAGTTGCTGGGAGGATTAAATGAGTTAATTCATGTAAAACTCTTAAGAACAGGGCCCAACAGAGTAAGCATCAAAAATGTTATGATTATTAAAATTGGTCAGTGTAAAACATTTCCCTAGTATTAAAGACATAACTGTATAAAAATATATCTTGCCCTCACCCAGAAAAAAAAGAAAAAAAATCCTAAAATCTAATATTTCCATTTTTTAGTTATTTGTTTTGTTACCAGACATGAGGTAGTAAGTACAAATGCAAAGGAGGCAGTACAAGGATCATGCAGCCTATCACCTGAAGACCAGACCTCAGGCAGAAAAGAAAACCAGAAGGATGATGACTGGACAGCATCTTTTTGGGGGGTATCACACATGTGCCAGGGGATGGACTAAATGTACCCATCTTCTTCCATGTGTTAGACTTCTCAGCTTTCAAACGTTTAGTCTCTTCCCAAGTAGTTTTTTTTAAAAAACAGTTGCATTAATAATGCAAGGTAATTAATAATGCCAGTAGCATTGCCAAAAGGAAGAACACATTTGCTTATCAAGACAGCCATCACCTCAATAATTTTATACCAATTTCTCACAAGCTGATAGCAAGCAAGCATACATAGATGGCTTAACTACAACAGGATGAATTGGTGTTTTAGTTGAAGAATTTTAAAGCAAGCCAAGTAATTGTATAAAATTTAAATTTTATGACCATGTTTGGACCTCTTTACATTAAACACAATGGAAATGTTCATATTCATTTTTTCCCCAAAGGAAAAATTTCTGAATCATCACTATGTTGCACAGTAGAATAAAAATATGAGTCCAGGTACTTACTCAAGTTTCTAAAGAATGCAAATAACAGGTAAAATTTTACTTCCAAAATCTGAAGTCATCAACATGATTTTGTAGTACTGTATCTCAGGCTTTACCTAAAAATTCCTTATTGTTCAGATAAAGACAGCCCCCAATCACATTTTTTAAAAAACATCTGTCCCACCACAACTTCCTGAGATCTGTGAAGAAACTGCAGTCTTGTGATCAGGCTCCATATAGTACTGGCAGTTTTGTACTTGTAAGGAAAAAAGTGAGCGATTTTACGTGTCAATCAGTTGTAGTCTGCTGATCTGATTAGAAGCCTTGACAAATGCCTGGTGGCGATTGCAGATAATTGCCAAGCATATGGGAATAATACAGTAGCCCACTGTTTTGGGGTCAGCTCTTGTACAAGAATAAAGGAACAAAAACATCTGTAGGTAAGGTATCAGAAAAATAACTGTCCAAAACCAAAAAGGCAGGGAGAGCAACCGAGATTTCAAGGAGTGTGTCCATGTGGTTCCTTCAAGGGGCTCCTCTGGGTGCTGTTGAATGTGTTCCAAGGCCAGCCTGTTGTAAGTCTCATTGATTTCAAAAACATAGTAAAATGCTGCTGCACTTGCTAAAAGATACAATCCCACTCCAATCCATCCCATCCGCTGACGGAAGTTCATCATTCTCCATGCTCTGTGCCTTCGAGTTAAAAAAGAAAAACTATGGTTAGTGTCTAGTAATCCTGTCAGTGGCAGCTACTCCAAATGTACTTACTTTTTTTCCAATGAACTCTAAAATGCCCTCCAACACATTTGAGGTTTAAAATAACTAAATTAAATTTACATTTATTAAACGTAAACAACTTACAGGTTGTTTCATGTAATAGTTATGAGGAAGTAAAGTTTTAGTATATATTGAATGTGCTTTTTATGTGACTCCCACAGACAAATAAATCACTGTATCTGCCTTAAATAGGTCCAGCACACCTTCCCTTAAGCTGTAACTGAAATAGTTTCGCATGGAACATTTCAGTTTTACAGTTCAGATACTTTCAGACCTAACAGTATTGCTTCAGACATGAACATTTGGCTCTACAAGTCAAACTAATGTTGGAGCCCCCAAGACAGTAACTCTTAAACACTTACAGTGGTCCCGAAAATCTTCCTGTTCCTACGGCAAGCGTTAAAGAGTCACTCAGTTCTGAATAATCGGGTGGCTTTGGCATTTCAGAGAAAGCCACCATAAGAGAAATCTCCGGGGTCACCGGCTGGGAGAATGGGGAACACGAGCAGCCAGGAGCAAAAGCTAATTGTGATTAAGCACAGCGTGACTGCAGCCGGTCACGCGGCGGCCCGGCCCTTGACGCGACTGCCGGAGACCCAGCCCTTGTGTCACCCGGCCCAGCCCGGAGGCTCCCCAGCCAACCGGGACTCCCCTGCAGCCGGCCCCGCCCCCTGTCGCGCTGCAGCGCCTGCCGGCCGCGACCAGGGCCGCGCGGACGGCGCCAGACCCAGGCCTCTCCGCCTTGCAGCGCCAGGAGCCCAGCGCCGGGCAGCGGCCACCGGCCGAGCCTGTAGAGTTGAGCAGGTCCCGGATCTCACCTCCTCTCCGGGTTGGCCCGCCCAAGCGCCGTCCCGGATGAAGCCACAGTCGGGGCTTCCGGCTCAGGCCGGAAGCGTGCATGCCCCGCCCCCTCAGACCCCGCCCCCTCGCGACGTCAGCGCGCCTCAGCCCTGTGGTGCCACTTTTACCAGTGCGCCCCGAACATCTCTAGTTAGGGTGCGGCTGGAGACTGCGGAGGCACTGGTGTTGAGGCGACGCTTCAGGTGGGCTGGCGCCTGGGCCTGGTCGCTTCAGCCGTCCTCAAAGCCTCGCCCCCGGTGCTTCGCCCTCCGCTCTGAACGCCCAGTCGTTCCTCAGAGAGCGCCGCAGCGATCAGCCGACCGCCATCCCCCGCGCGCCTCTGCGCAGCCCCGGTATCCCTCTCGACTGTCCCCATCCGAGCGGAGGAGAGGCCACCCTCTCGCTCCTTGGCCTGGCCTCCCGGGAAGAATCGGGAGCGGACCCTGGCGCCTCGGCCGCCGGCGATGGACACAGACGCGGACAATTAGATGACGGCGGGGGGAAGCGGGACCCCGCCGTCCGCTGCGGGGCGCCCGAGGCGGAGAGAGGAGGGTAAGACTGCTGCTTGCCGCAGTGGGGCCGGCCGTCTGCCCGCGTGCGTGGGGCTTCTCTGGGCTTGGGTTATTCATTGACACCTTAAACTAACTTGACTGCTTGGTTCTCACAGCCCTTCTGAACTCCGGATGTTGACGAGACTTAACTAGGGTACCACGGAGGAGTACTGTGAACTGCGGTGGCATCAGTGGCCTGGAGAAATTGGCATTTAAATCTGTTGTTTTGGGCACCATGACGCTGAGGCTCTTGGAAGACTGGTGTAAAGGGATGGATATGAACCCTCGGAAAGCTCCGTTGATTGCCGACATCCCCCAGACCCGTAACGTGGCGGAAATCGAGGAGGCCCTACTAGCTGGTTTAGCTCCCTTGGGCGAGTACCGACTGCTCGGGAGGACGTTCCGGAGGGACAAGAACAGGAAGGTAGCCTTAATAGGGCTTACTGAGGAGACTAGTCATGCTCTGGTCCCCAAGGAAAAAGGGGGTGCCTGAAGAGTGATCTTTAAGCCCCCTGACCCAGATAATGAATTTTTAAGCAGATTAAATGAATTCTTAGAGGGAGAGGGCATGACACTGTGTGAGTTTACCAGAGCTCTGGGATATGGAAACGACACTTTTGGCCTAGACCAGGACATGATCCCAGAAATGCGGGCCCCTGTGTTGGCACAGGCATTAGGTGAGGCCCTTCAGCCTGCTCTGCAATACTTGGAATACAAAAAGCTGAGAGTATTCTCAGGCAGTGATCCTCCGGAACCAGAGGAAGAAGAATTTGAATCCTGGCTGTTTCATACCACTCAAATGATGAAGACATGGTAGGTATCAGATGCCGAGAAGAGAAGGAGACGGCTAGAGAGCCTTAGAGGCCCAGCATCTGATATTATTCGTGTCCTCAAGATAAACAATCCGTTAATTACAGTTCCTGAATGCTTGCAGGCTCTTGAGCAGGTGTTTGGGGTTATCGATAATCCTAGGGAGTTGCAGGTCAAATATCTGACTACTTACCAAAAGGATGAAGAAAAATTGTCTGCTTACGTGCCAAGGCTGGAGCCTTTATTACAGAAACTGGTAGAGAGAGGTGTAATTGAGCGAGAAGTTGTGAATCAGGCCCACCTAGACCAAATCATTGCTGGAGCAGTCCCCAGAACCCCGCGTGGGAAGTTTGCTCTGTCAGAGGATGGCTCAGCCCCTGGCTTATTGCAGTTACTGACACTGATAAAGGATGAAGAGGCAGCTGAGGAGGAGGACCTTCTCCAGGCAGGATTAGAGGGCCTTTTCACCTGAATCTTGGAATCAGGAAGGGCTCCCTGGCAATGAGCAGAGCATGAAGGTAGAACAGTCCATATACCCAGTGATAGACATTAACCAATCCCTGCCTTGTGCTGCCAAGTAACTCATTTTTGTGCAGTTCTCAGTATAATCCTTCGTCATTTCTGTGCCTATTTAATGTCTCCTAAATGTGTCATTGACTAGGAGGATATAGTTCTGCACTGGTATTTATATATTTAAATTCACCCTGTGAATTTTTTTTTATCACGCACAGCTGTACAGAAAGTGTAAGCACTACACGTGTGTAGTACTTTGAGAGAACAGGTAAGGCTCAGGTACACATGCTGGCCAGATCTCCTTGAGCTGTCAGCTTGGGGGATAATAGGTGCAAGTGTAGCTGTCAGATGTGATAATGTATCGTAGTTTCTCTTTTTTTGTTTATTTGTTTATGTTAACATAGTTTACAATGTGTTAGATTCTGGTGAATAGCAAAGTGATTCAGTTATGTATAGATTCTTTTCCATTATAAATTATTACAAGACATTGAATATAGTGCCCTGTGTTATATAGTAGGTCCTTGGTTATTTTATATATGACACTGTGTATCTGTTAATGCCAAACTTCTAATTTACTCCTCCCTCCCTGCTCTGTCCCCTTTGATAACCATAAGTTTGTTTTCTATGTCTGTGAGTCTATTTCTGTTTTGTAAATAAGTTCATTTGTATCATTTTTTAGATTACACATATTATTATATGATGTTTATCTTTGTCTGACTTAGTATGATCATTTCTGTGTCCATCCATGTTGCTGCAAATGGCATTATTACATTCTTTTTATGGCTGAGTGATACTCCATTGTGTATGTATATACCACAACTTCTTTATCCAGTCACCTGCCAATGGACATTTAGGTTACTTCCATGTCTTGGCTACAGTAAATAGTGCTGCTACACATATAGTTTTTAGGTATGTATTGCTCTACATTAATCTGGAAGATCATGAGCAGTGGATAAGATATTATTTTATGTGTAAATCGGAATTTTATTGCTTCTGTGCCGTCAAAACAGGCAGAATTAAGTGCTGAAGTTGCTAAGTTTGCAGCTGCCATCTCTAACCTCAGATTTCTGATATGTGTCATCAAAACATCTAGTTCTAGATATTTTAATAGGATATAAAATTATAGTTGTGCACTTATAAACGAATGTGAATAAAATGACCTTTTTTTATCTGTTTTGTTTATATCAAGGTTCCAAGAGAGGCTTCACTTGAACAAAGGGTTCCAAAAGCATAAATCTGAAAACCACTGAATTTGCACAGGCTTATTCCATTGGACGCTTTATTCCTGGTGCCCAGTGGGTTAGGGAGTAGTTTTCTAAGTGAGAGTCCAGGTGGGACCTTCTACGAAGCACAGTGGACTGAAACGAGACAGCACACAAGTTAGTGCGGGTAAAGCAGTTTCTGAATCTGGAGGGTGAAAGGAAAGACAGGAACACTGCATACCTCTACCTGGTAGCCTGAACTATGTACTTTCTCACTTAGTTCTCTTAAAAATTCTGCAATATAGGAAAACTCAGTTTCACATTTGTGGGAATGGGCAGGGAAATGTTAAGGAAGACCTGCTCACAGTGAAACAGCTAGTTTCAGAATCCTGTTCTCCACCTTAACTGCCAGGTCTGTGTTCCTTCCACTGCCAAGAAAGAGAAGCAATCATAAGGGTATCAACCACAGATTGTTAACCACATTTCATAAATGAACTGTCAGTATGCGTTAGTGTGGACTAACGCATTCTTAATCACTACTGCAAATTAGACACTGTAAGAAGTGGGGTGTGTGAGAACCTGTAAGACCCAGGGGTTAGCCAGGAGGGTGGACATGGGTTAGTGATTTGGTCTTTAAAAAAAAAGAGTGAAAGTCATAGCATGAAGAAAATGGAAAATTGCTGAAAGATCAGTCTTTTATAACTAGTAACAATACCCCAAAGGATCAGTTTTGGGATGTACACTTTTGGTTTAGATTCAAGGGCATAGTATAATGTTTCTGCTTTGACTAAATGTCGTGGTTTCATCCTTTGTAAGTTCTCATAAGTTCTCCCACTATGGAAGGTAAAATATGTGTATCAAGCCATCATGTTGTACCCCTCATATGTAATTTTAACTTGTCAATTATACCTCAGTAAAGGTGAGGAAAAAGAAGCTAAATACCAGATGACATATGGACTCTGGATAAATTCAAAGGTGTAATTCTGATCTTGTTTATATGCCTACAGTCATTTATTTGCCATCTCAGTAGCAGGAAATGTCATTAGCTGCATTTTGCTGATACACAGATACAGTGTATATGTGCACACAAAGGTGTTAATAAATGTTGCACCTCTCCTGTGTGTGAGGCACTGAGTGGGGAGGGGGGTTAGATTGTATAATTAAATTTAGGGTATAATCCCTACCGTGGAGGTCTATCCAGAGTCAGTAATAGCTGACACTGAACACTTGCTATTGACTAAGCGCTGAGCACTGTTGAACACATTTGATCCTCCAACAATACTGAGAAGTAAGGCCTTTCATTTTCCTATTTTATAGGTGAAACTGAGGCACAGAGAAGTTAGTAACTTGCCCAGGGTTTCCTAACTAATAAGTGGCAGGGTCAGGATTTACACTCTGGCCATCTATTTCCAGAGTCCTTGCTCTTAATCTACTTACTCTGTGTTGCCTTGTTAACTCCTCACAGAAACCTGTGTAAAGCACCATCATTTCCTGTCTTATGGATGAGAGGCTTGAGGCTTAAAGATTCAGTATTGCGGGGGGGAGGGGAGCAAATAGCCTGACTCCAGAGAGCTTTTCTTAAGGTGTTCTGACATGCATCTGGTAAACACCACAGAACTGTAAAAAAAAAAAAAATGTCAGTTGTGAGTATGAAATCATGTGAAGTCATGAAATATATGTTCTTTAAAAGCTATGTTCCAAAAACAAATGAACACTAAAAAACTACCTAGTTCTGTTGGGATGATGGAAATATAAGGGTAATTGAATTTTCTTTTGTTTCCTAAATGTGTTGTTTCTTTTAATGAAAAATAAATATGCAAAAGAAGTGCTCATAAAGCAAAATATCAGGTGGCATGTCAAAGGAACAGAAGCCAGCCTGAAAGAGAACCCACTGGCGAAAGCTGCAATTTGAGGGGAAAGAATGAATAGTATTGGGTTATAACCCAAAGTATAAAATAAATATCCATGAGTTCATGCTGATGTAAGTAAATGTGGGAGAAGAGTCCACTTTTCCTTAGAGAAGAACTTCAAGTCATTTGTATGGATGTTCCCCACTTTAGGAGGTGAGGGTTTATTCCCATCCCCCTTTAAGTGTGGACTGAATTTAGGAATAGAGTATGAGGTGGGAAAATAGTAACTTTATAGTGGAGAAACCTGGCAAGGACTAGCTTGCTGAGTCAAAGTTAACAACAGTGTTCAGTCACGTTGATGGTATGTGTCCCTGATACGGTGCAATGACATGGGCACTTCACGCCCTCAGAATCCATAACCCAGCCTACTCAGGAGAAAACCACCAGACAAACCCACACTGACAGACATTCTGCAAAGTTCCTGACCAACACTCCTCAAAAATGTCAAGACGGTAAAAAACAAGAAAAGACTGAGAAACTGTCACAGACCAGAGAAAAGAGACCTGATAACTAAATGTGAATGTATTCTGGAAGGGATTTTGGAACAGAAAGGACCTTAGTGGAAAAGTGAAGTCTAAAGTTTAGTTAATAGTAACAGCCCAATATTGGTTTCTTGGGGGTGACAAATATACTATGGTAATGAAAGTTACCAGGTTAATAAGGGGAAACTATACGAGCATACACAAACTCTACTATTTTTGTAACTTTTCTGTAAATCTAAAACTATTCTAAACTAGGACAGTCATTGAAAAAGATACATAGATACTTACACACATACATGCGCAAGCAGATAGCAAACGACCTGGGAAGCCAGCCAGTGAAATGAGTCAATGGGGGTAACAGGAGTGCCTGCCATTCCTAAAAATGTTATTCATCTAAACACCACCAGGTGGCAGTAAGCACTCAGGTTAGGCCTCAGCCAGGCCAAAGTCGGGAAACATTCTCTCTTACGTATGTGGCATCGTACCTGCCCCTCTCAAAGACTGGAAAATTTCTCAAGACTTTATGTGGAAAAAAATATTCAAATAATCTGGGACAGTGACTTCCTCGATCCATGTTCCTTCTAGAATCTTCTGACTACCTTGTCGGAGAGCCCTGACCTTAGCCATACAAGTGAGAACATCCTTAGTGATTCCGCTTCACTCCCAGCCAGAGCATTTCACAAAATTGGAAACTAGATGGTTTTAGAGATCAACTTCTGAAAGCCTCTTATTTTAAAGAGAACGACGTTTAGGTCAAGAGTAGTCATCCTTAACTATCGTAGCTTTCCCACACGATCAGTCTCCTGCCTCTGCTACCAGCAAGCCTAACTCTGCTTTCAGAGGTGTCAGTTTTCTTATGTACACGTGGATTACCACATGACCGGTATAGTAAGTAATTCAGTGTAAAGAAGGGTTGTAAAGCTCTTAGTCACCACCCTGGTTCGGGGAGAGGGTTAGGAGTCAGAAGGCTTTGGTCTGAAATAATAGAATATTGCCCATATGCCAAGTGCAGCTCAGAGATGGTGACTGGCTTGCTCAAGGACACACAGCTAGTTAGAGGCAGAACCCAAACCTGAACCCAAATCTGAGCCTGGCTTTGGCTTACTCTATGACCTGCTGTAAAAGCACTTAATTCCCCTTGGACTTCAGTTTACTTACCTACAAAATCTATGATCCCTTATAACTCTAAAACTGTGTAACTCAAAACGTCTTCTAATTATCTTTATATGAATATCCTTAATGTAAAAACTGACTCTAAATTCTTAACATGCCTAATATTTGTCACTTAACATGTGTTTCCAAATATCGGGATATCTTTTGACGAGTGTGCTTTCTAACACCCCAACTAGATTCTGTTTCCCCTGCTATCATGGTGTATTATATCCCCCTATAAGCCCAACATGGTGTTTCATACTTGGAAGGTAATAAATATTTCTTAACTAATCAGTAGTGCTCTGATGTAATAATATATATAATGACAATTATATGTATATATATAATAGACACTGATATACAATATGATGTATAATAATAATCATGGCTATCTTTTATTAAGCTCTTCCTATGTGCCAGGCATGGTGCTAAATGCTTTACATATGTTACCTCTTTGAACTCTGACAATTCTACTTATATCCCTAATTTCAAATAAGGAGACAGACCTTTGGATAAGTAAAGTGGCTTGCCCAGAGTCACACAGCCAGAAGCTACCAAGATCTGTCTGTTCTAGAGCCAGGACACTAACCCACTGTGCCAGAACTAAACTAGCGCCACTTCAAGAGTGGGTATGACTTCATGAGTAAAATCATTGGTGAACCAGGTTCTGACCATATAACCTGAAGCCCTATCCATCACCACTCCCCACTCTCTTCCTCCAAAATAAATAACAATACAATC